ATGACCTGTTGGTTGATCTGTTGATTGATCTGCTGGATCACCTGTTGGTTGATCTGTTGGTTGATCTGCTGGATGACCTGTTGGTTGATCTGTTGGTTGATCTGCTGGATGACCTGTTGGTTGATCTGTTGGATGACCTGTTGGCTGATCTGTTGGATGACCTGTTGGCTGATCTGTTGGATGATCTGTTTGCTGATCTACCGCTCCATGCTCACCTCCAGACTCATTTTCATCCACTGACGGTTCCACTGCGCCATCGCCTTTGTGAGGGGAGGGATCCCAGTTACCCGGGGGGTCATCCTTGCTCTCGGGGTTCTCATCTGGCGGTTGCGGGGGGTCAGGAATGGTCACCTCCTCGTCACACTTAATTACATTATCGAGCAATGCAGCACCTAAAGGAAAAGGAAGCAAAAAGGCGAGCAAAAATGAATAGAAAGAATGGAAAAGCATGTAAGAAATTGGTTTCCCGCAAATGTCTCAGGCATTTGAAGGATAAATTTTCCACACATATGCTCCCGTTGGCTCGCTTGTTTGCTTCCTTTCATTGTTGCACAATTGTTGGTCATTTTTTCCACAATCCTTTTTTTTTTTTTCCTCCTTACTTGCTATAAAAAGGAACGGAAGGGACAACTGCATTTTGTTCTGTAGAATTAAAAGTAGCTATTTCTAGGAATTTTTTTTTTTTTCTTATCCTTTGAAGTTTGCTACGTGAAGGATTTTTTTTTTCTCTTATTCTTTCAGTTATCTACCTGAAGGGATTTTTTTTTTTTTCTTATCCTTTCCAGTTAGCTACCGAAGGTGATTTTTTTTTTTCTCCTTATCCTTTCAGTTAGCTACCTCAGGTTGCTTTTTTTTTTTTTATTTCCATCTCGCATCAACTTTTTGCTAAATTTCTTTTTTTTTTGGAAGGTTTCCAAATTTTTTTAAATTACGACAAGGGAATGATTATATTACACCGGGGATGTTTTTTTTTTCCAACGGAATGGATTAAAGCTATCTTTTGAGTAAAATTACTCTTTGCGGAAACGAGCAAGCCCATCCGATCTAGGATAGTCCAATTAAAATAAGCGGACTCTACGATTAAGCTTATATACATATTTGCGCAGTACTTCTTGGTGATATGCCTTTTTTCATGGATGATTATTAGGCGCCTCCTGCGATAAGTGGCCCTTTTACGCGCCCTGCGAACGAGGAAATATTATAGTCCAACCCTGGGTCGTATAATTTTGCCGCGTTCTTTTTCTCAACCCAACCTGCGGGCTTGGAAGAGTGCGAACAATGCGGGGCTGGCTGCCAGGCAACGGTGCGCCATTCTTTTCTCTCCGCGCAGAGGGCATACTTTACAATGAAAAAAAAAATATAAATATATATATAGTATTTGTCTATGTATATAGATAAATATGTTTTTATACGCGTATGAATTCTTTGCCCCATGCGAAAGGGGTCAAAGGAGGTACATAAAAAATGGAAAAACCAAAAGGTATTTTATTCAATCTTGGAGTTTTTTTTCATTTGTGAAAACAAAAAATAATAATCACCACACGGATAACAACTACTAAGAGGATCAAAAAAAAGGGGGAAAACGAAAATCTCCAAAAAAAAAAAAAAAGAAAAGAAAAAAACAAAAAATAGCTAACTGAAAGATAAGAAAAAAAAAAGGAAAAAAAAAAAACGATAAACAAAAATCGGATAAACCCAAAACCTGGGGAGGACGACCGTGTAACCCCCAAAACTGGAAACGGGGACAATCGTGTAATGGTTGCAAGCAGGCCGGCAAAAACGCCGCAAAAAAGATAGCCCCGCACGAGCTTCCACATACGCATATAAATAAATATATACATACAAGTACTTCAACGTGTAGGCTCATTTATCCCCATGCGGATCGCCAATACGCGTCGTCCCCTATACGTAGCAGAAAAAGCAATCGCCAGTCTTCCTGCGTTGCGCTAGACAGTACCCAGGAGAAGCCTCATCTCTACAATTAGGCCACTCGTCGTGGCAAAACTGTATGCACTCGGCTAGTTGCTCTGAATCCTGCGCTAACGATCTGGAGCAGCTATGGTCCCCAGAAATGCCACTATAATCGCCGTATGTAACTATTCCCAATTTTACCTTTCCATGTTTAATGTGTTTTAAAATGTGCATCACTTCAACGGTTGCAGTTTCTGTGCTTTGCTCGTCAGTGCCATCTCGAACAAGCAGCGCGTCCCCCCCTAGCGGGGGAGGCGCTGCAACGATTAAAGGCGGCGCAGGATTTGCCTCAACTTGAACTTCTCTCAGTGCTACCTGCGGAATGGGCGTTAATGGCGATTCGGATATTAGCTCCTCGTTAACTACCTCTATTGGGGGATCCTCAGAGCTGCGTTTCCCCGCATCCCCCCCCTTTGATGCATCTTCTCGCTCCCCTTTCGGTTCTTCAACTGGGTTAGCAGTTTTCGAGGGGTTGCTGTCCTCCAGGATCTCGCTCTGTTCATCCTGCCCTTGCAGAGGCAAACCTTGATTCCTGTCTGTTTGGTCCTTCCCTGTCGCAGCGCTCTTACGACCGATGTTCTTATAGTAAATGTTTCCCAAAAAGTCAGGGGAGCTCTTCAGGTAGTAATTGTATAAGTGGGCCTCCCTATTGGAAGGGTTCTCCGCGACGGGCACGTCCACATTGAAGACAGCGGCGGTGTGGACGAAGTTGTGTTGACAATGGGCTGGACCGTACATATCGACCTTGAAGTTTCCCTCGTCTCCCCAGTATTTTCCCCAACTGTTTCGCATAAACCAATAGGATTTTTTCAATCCCTCCGCGTTTATGTAATTACCATACCCAATTATGTTCACTGCGTGATCTGGTGTTTTATCGCCGCACAGGCTGTGCACCTCCTTCCCGTTCATGTCGTAACCTAGGACGCCTAGCGCTTTGACATAAGCCATAACGGATCCTTTGCTCCTCACCTCGCGCTTCACCAGATTGACAAACGCCTCCATGTTCCCCCTGAAGTCGTCGCTTTCGTATGATGTGTACCCTTTGGTGCTTATCGAATTGGGTTCATCTGAGGGTTCTAAAAGTTTCAAATTTTCCCACAGATTCTGCCAATGATCGTCCTGCTTGGGGCAATCATTTCCGACGTGTCTATAGGAATAGGGCAGCAACAACGCGGGTGGTAAGAACCCATTTTCTTCAACGATGGTGAGAAATTCATACGGATTCGATCCAGAAGTGCATCTACTTTCATTTCCCCTCTTGGAGCAGTTAGCTACGTACAAAGCGGAAGAACCCACATGCTCATACCCCTTCATGCATCTAATCGTTTCTAGATGAGTCTTAGATGTAAACAGCCAAGAGAGGTTGCAGTTGCCTTGTTCTTCTGCCTCTATGCTTGAGAAGCAACTATTTTTATCCTTCCATCGGTCACAGTAGTCTTCATTGCAAAACATGTCCCCTGAGAGATTCGAATGGTTCATCTCGCTTTTTTGGGAAAGGTCAATAACAGCGCGGTAGCCAGGGATGTGCATACCTTTTACAACGCTTTTTTTGTCTGTTGATTTATTCTGCTCTTGCGAATCCACAGGAGTAGTAACCCTCCTTTGTAAATGCTTGTACTGAAAAGGAGGCAACTCCAGTCCGCGTTTTTGCAGTACCCACTTCCCTGCATCTTTCAAACAGATGGCAGGATTTTTTAACTTCTCTCGTAATGCAGGTATCTCCTCATTGGAATGCTTTCTTAATAGATCTCTTAAATTGCTTAACATATCCATTTCGTCTCCTAGTTCGTGCTGTTGAAGGGTTCCACTCGTGTCAACCTCCTTCATCACTTGGCAGTAACTTAGAAGGAGTTCCTTCAAATTATCATTTGGGTATTGTACTTTGGTTTCTCCTTTCGTGTGGGTGTTATTTTCCCCCATTTTTTGCACCACTTGGAGGATCCTACCGATTAACTCTTTTAGTTGGGATTCTTCCGGGTCACCTTCATCCTGCGCCTTAATTTTTATCTGTTCATAGTTACGCTTAACATCGGGTGGGAGGTAACTAAAACAGCGGTTGCTCAATTCAGTGTTTTCGGACAATAAGGTGCACTTGTAACATCCTTCTATATCTACTTTTCCGCTGAGGAAGCAGTTGGTGGCGATCTCCTCGCACGTGTCTGTAGATGGGTGTGAGCAGATGAGAATGAGCAGATGAGAATGAGCAGATGAGAATGAGAAGATGAGAATGAGCAGATGAGAATGAGCAGATTAGCATGAGCAGATAAGCATGAGCATATAAACATTAGCAGATCATCATGTACAGATAACTTTGTCAGATGGGCACCCCCGCACACGTGCGATGATGCACCCATCTGTGGGGAGGCACTCCCCGTGCTGCGATGCTAACTAGGAATGTCCTGCCGTAAGAAGTACGCTTTGCTCTCCAACAAGAAAACGTCGTTGTTCTCCTTCCCGCTGTGCACTTGTATCGCCGTGATTGGACTCCCCAAGTTCTTCAGCATGTATTTCCTCACGTCTGTTTTGTTGTCTGCGGAGATGGGTGGAAAGCGTAACGTGGGTGAAAACTGCCAGGTGTAGCATCCCTTTCGTTGGTTACGCGAAATAGCAGCGCAATGTGAGGCTGCTTCGAGTCAGCCGCTTCGCTGAGATTTTTCTTCTTTTTTTTTTTTCCATTACTGTCTGTTGCTGAAGGAACTTCTTCGTACACCTTCCACTTGAGGATCAGCTCTTCCCCCTTAATGATCACTACAAATTTAAACGTCTTCCCCTCTGCGCATTTGTTGACGAGCAAATCCGCATTCTCCTCAAATTGTAATCGCTCAGAAGAGTCGCTGTCCCCCTTGTAAAATTCCTTCGTCATCGTCACGTCTTCTAACTTTCGACCTATCTGAATTGTGTTACTCTCCGCCTCGACACTTATTGATATATGTGGAACGAGGAACAACTGGAACTTCGCATTGCACGTTCCTGTCACTTTCACTCCATCGTGATCTTTAAGCAGTGCGGATCTAACTTCTACCTCGCTCAGATTGCTGGCGAGGCCAGGCGCAACGCTTGTGACAGGGTTAAGCGTGTGCTCAACCTGCTGCGGAGGTTGACCTCGCCCTGCAGCATCGTCTGCATTTCGTGGAGGCACATCTGGTGTGTGGTGTTGTACTGCACCATCTGCTTCTACGTCAGACGAATATTCAGGAGAAATGCCCCTATCACTCCCCCGGTCGAAGGGTAACTTTTTTGCGTCTGTATAGTTACTGCTCACATTTGAGGGGGATGCCGAACCTGTCCACGGCCCTTCCGCTGCTAATTTAGCGCCGACGTCCGATCCGAGCAGGGCACCTGCGTAGAATTCGTCACGAATGGGTTGCGTGTAAAAAGGGTATACACTATGTCGATAAAATGTTTTCCACTTATGCGGTTTGGTTTCAATTGGTAATTTTTTTTTTTTTCCTTCCACGAAGCATCGTCCATCGGATAAAGCATCGCCGTGCCCCAATAGGCGGCGTCTCTTTCCCGCGCCCCTACTTCTTCTCCCTCTCCTTACATATCGCCCAGGTGAAACACACCCTGTGATTCATGGCGTTCCTCCGAATGAACTAAATTTCCTGCGACTTCCCTGGCAGAGACCATATGATGAATACTATTTTGGCAGCGAATTATGTTCCCATTTGTTTACCTATTCATTTCACCATTGGGGGGGAGCTCCGCTCTGTGGAAACATTTTTTTTTTTTTTTTTTTTGACGACGAAATAGGTTTGACAGCGTGTCTTTTCCAAAGTGGGCCGTGCGAAGCGATCAACTGAATGCAGAAGTGCATCCAACGTGATAATACGACATGGAAGCTGGACACTCCAACAGGGCGCAACAATACGACGCTGCGCAGCACTGCGCCCCCACACTGGAACAGGGAAAAAACAAAAAAAAATCTTCACTTGTGACAAAATTTTAAAGTGTATTACGGCACATTCTGCGTAGCAATTTTTAATGCTCTTCCGATTGGGGTCACCATTCACGGGGTTCCAAAGCGCGGGGTGGTATGGGTACCCCTCGATCCACGTGCACATACGACAGGCAGGCGATTGGGCGGCAATTTTTTTCCACTGGTTGTTCTGCGTTAACCTGTCACCAACTGTGTTTTACGATTGACTCAGTTTAAACAATCCATCGTTTCCCCGCTTGTGACCAACTCCTTTCCTTAGCAGAGCTACACATACGTCGATAAGTGTGCCATTACAGACATATACATATGTGTATTTCTTTTTTCCTCTTAAATGGCGCGACTGTTGTGCAGCGATTGTCACTTGTGAGGGCGATCGACACGACTATTTTGCACGATAAAAAAAAAAAAAGGCAGTGGAAGTTTCCACCATTGCCGCGAAAGAAATACGCTTTGCGCGCTGTTCGAATTGAACTGATAAAGGGATTACAAAAATAGGGATAGTAAAAAAAAAAAAAAAAAAAGGTGAGATATATGCTGGGACGGGGGAAAGGGGGCGCGTGCATGCACCAACCGGACTGAGACCGTCTACTCAAGTTGAGCATCTCACAGCAGGACGAAATGGAAAGGTAGCAGCTAATAAGAAATAGTCCAACTCGAGGAGGCGCCATAACAGCCCTTTTTAAACTGCAAGAAATGCATAATTTCATAAGACTCGGCAAAGTAAACTCAGTGGTTGGCTACCAACTCGGACAAATAAAGCAATGTTAAGTGGGTCTTTTTTTTTCTGGAGGGGGGGACCAACTTGTGTTATCTTTCTTTAACTTAGTACATGGTATGTAAATCTTTACACCCTGATATTCCCCAGTTGGACATGAGGTGTGAATAGAAAAGGGAAAAAATACCTCTCCAACGATGGAGGAACGGTCCTAAGGGTTCACACTGCCTTAACTATCATTTGGTTCCGCTTCTTTTCTTTTCTGCTCTTTTTTTTTTTTTTTTTATTTTCAGATGGCGAAACTTATCCAGCAGTTTGGGCGTTACTACAATGCCGCTATCAGGGGGTGCAAATTTTTTTTTTTTTCATCTCCTTTCGAATTTTTTATCTTCCCCGCTTGGAGAACACTTGCACATAGCATACGTCACCTTAGGGGGGAGGGGACGTGTTTGTTGCCGTAAAAACGAGCCCTTTTACTTGTCCCTTCCTTGGGAGGACATACTCCTTTGTTGTTTCATCTGAAATTTGCATTCCTCAGCTTTGCGTCTGATTTGCGGCTCCTTCCCATCTACTTCGCAGCAACTGTTTTGTTCACCTTCCTGTTTGTCTCTCCCTGTGAGCCATCTCCCTTTGAGAAGCACGCTTAGCTGCGGCAGCCGCTCCTCTTTTGTGTAACCCCCAGTGATGGCTCTCTTGTGGTGGTAGCAAATTTGCGGCTTCGCCTCTTCACTACTACGCCGCCTCACTACTACACCGCCTCACCACTACACCGCGTAAAATGCCGTGCATTCTGAAGGTCAGAATATCGGGCATACGGGATTTCAACGCCTTCGAAAAATCAGAAGTGGATTCGCTTAAATATGTAGAGGTGGGTGTGACCAGGGGGGGAGAATTAGCAGCCCCACTGGGCAGACCAACGGAGCGGTCAAAGAAAACCCTACGTCCACCCATATGCCCCTTTTTTTTTTTTTTTACGGACACCATTTGTAGGTCACACTGGGCGAAACAAAACAAAGGACGAAATTTAGTTAGCAAGAAAAATGATAAGTCCATTTGAGCTTCCATAGTTTAATAGACAAATATATATGGAGGCCCCCATGAGCAGACCCGCATGTGCAGGCCCTGTTCTACAGAACCGCTTCTACACACCCGAATCCGCCACACATGTTGCTGACACTCCATTTTTCTCCGCGCAGATATCAACAGACACACGGATGACCTGAACTTATCCTTTCGGCTGGAAATTGCTGATGACTCGGAGCTGCAGACCTGTCCGCTGAAGATAACGGTACAGAGGGGGGCGAGAATTGGAGATGAAAAGAGGGAAAACAAAGTGTCACCATGAGTAGTGTCACAGATAGTGGAATCTCCAATAGAGGCATCTCTGCCAGTGACCCTCCTGCTGGTGACGCGCTAAACTGTGACTCCTCCGCCCCATGCGCAGATCGACGACGTGGAAGATATAAACAGCGGGTACATCCAAATAGACTTCAGCTTCTTCTACTTCCACGACAATTTGAAGTTGGAGGGCTGGTTCCCCCTGTACGACTCCCTGGCTGGACTCAAAGGTTTCCTCCCTCTCGACGCCAACGAGCAAAAGTTCACACGTTTATCGACACGTCTAGCCACATGTCTACCGACACAGACACTGCCGTGTGGGTGTCCTCCCCCACACATAACCCCTTCACGACAATCATATGTGTTTCCCTCCCCCCCCTCTCTTTTGGATCGCCCCAATGCTAGGCGAACTGTACTGTACCATCAAATGGGAATTCTTTGAAGAAAAAAATCCCTACAATGATAACAGCGCAGGTAAGGGCGTCATCTGTGAGAGGGCTCAATGGTGCTCCACTTGCTGCTGCACTTGATACTCCACGGGGTACTCCACTCCGCTGCCCACTTCTCCCCCAGTCGGCCTCTCCCTCAGTCACATTTGCCCCCTCCCCCTACTGCAGATGTCCTCCTCCTAGGCACGACGTCCTTTCCCAAAAACTCCCCCTACTACATCGAACAAATTATAAACTTCGCTGTAAGATAAGGGCAGCCGCACGGTCGTCTGTGCGTGTAGATGTGTGTAGAAATGGACTGTTGAAGAATCCTGAAGGTGGCTCCACACATGTCCTCAGCATACGTCCGGCGGGAGGAACAATTGGACAATGAAAATCTGTTTCATTTTTTTTTTTCCTGGCAGCACGAACTTAAGATTGTAAACGATCCTGAGTATGACTGGAAGGACTTGATAAGATCCAACAGGTGTGAACAAAAAAAAAAAAAAAAAGGGTAAAAGAGACAGCTTCCAAACGGGGTCTTTTTTTCCATTTAGACTTCCCCCTTTTTCTTCATGCATGTGATCTCTTTCCTCGCCCCAATGGCAGAAACTCGAATGAGGCAAGATGTGACGTCATACAGAACTCCTTCATGCAGACGAGGAAAATTATTGGAAAAAAGGTACCCATAAGTGCTTTTCTCCCTTTTGAGTATAACACCAACGTGCATGCAGCTATGACACCCGTTTCAGTTATATGCTAATCAAGGGTGTCATACTCTTTCACCTCCCCTTCCCCCCCCTTTCCCTCGCGCAGGCTAAACTGTTGGGTGGGAACGCCATTATCGGTTATCAAGAGCATCTGAACTTGGAGGGAGGCACAACAAACAAGTAAGTCTCCATTCTTGGCATGTCGTCACCGCCACGTAGTTACTCCCCTATTGATAGTCCACCTTCATGGCAACATTGTTACACCCCATTCATTCTCCACCCCTTTTCCACACAGAATTTGCATTCGCGTCATAGGAACAGTCGTGAAGCTAGGGGTGAAGAACCTGAACGATCCCAACTACGCCATCCCCGGGGAAAACAGAAACATAAAGAATATTCTGCGCAACAATGAGCTCCTGAGGCAAAACAGCTTGGAAAAAAATAAGGACATGAAATTGTACAAGAGGGATAGCACTCTCCCGAACTCAAACTTCAATTTTGTAGATGTGATTTTGCTCACCGTCGACTCGCTTCCAAACAGTGTGAAATACACGTATGGTAGGTTTCCCGGAGGGAGACAAGCTAGCAGCTGCAACTGTGTTGACGTGCGTAGAGGGCGAAGACGTCCACACATACAGGCGCATACCCCCTTCCCACTCGTAGGAGGACTTGTCGCCGCCAAGTCCGTCAAGGTTTTGCACCAGCGGCTAACGGAGCAGCACCGAGACGAATGGCTCCTCGAGATAAGGGACGAAGTAAGGGCGGAGAGAGAAAAGAAAAAAAAGAAAAAATAGGAAAAAATAGGAAAAAAAAAAAAATAAAAACAAATCAGAGCAAATAAGCAAACGACCGAACTTACGCTCTCCAACAGAGCGATGTCTAGGGAACATGACCCACTCTCTGACATGCACAAACGCGTCTTTCTCCCCCCCTCCCTTAGATCAAATCGAATGCAACGTTTTTATCTTGCAACGTCATTTTGGGTAACGCATACAATGCGCACTCATGTGGAGGGAAAATGCACATGGTCGGAAGTGCCTCTCTCCATTTGCGATTGTGTTGAGGCTGACATACATCAGTACACGAAGCAGAAATGATAACGCCACAGTGCTATCTCGGTGTGGTGCCACCTCTGAATGGATATGTTCCCCACCCCTTTTTTTTTTTTTTTTTTTTTTGCAGGTTACAAAGAAGACACGTATATTTACAACGACGTGATCATTCTCTTTTGCTACGGCACGGCCATTAGTGTGATGTCCTCCTTTTTCCAAGATGATAAAATCGTTTCTTATGCGAACAGCGAAAGGAATAAGTACCAGTCGCTTAAGGGTGGGCCCTTAAATGCGAACAGAAATTCTAGTTGCGTTTATTTGCACTACGCGTCGGACGACATAGAAAGGAACACGGTCCTTTGCAGGTGAGTCAAACTAATCGACAACACGTAACTGTGGAAACGTCTCATCGTAAACTGCACACTTGTCTTGTCTCTTTCTCCCCCCTCTACTGCGCCGTTCTCTCCTAAAACAGAGTCTGCAATGAAGCCTCGGTGCCGAAGATCCTCATTTCGTCCGCGAGTGTGCCACAAAACGTGGCTGTCATTGGGAAGTAGGCCTTTCGTAGCGGACCAACTTGGCCCCTTGGGTGCCCACGACGAGGCGATTACGTGTCAGTTCGGATTCTTCCGCTTCGTCTGCTTCATCCACTTCAACCACTTTTTCCCTACCCTCCCCGAAGTGGCTTCCTCATCTCAGCCTTCGTCGTGTACCCGCTGAAGAAGCACTACGGAGAGTATCTCGCATCGGAGGTGAGAAAGAAGCCCCAGCAGGGCACCTGCGCATTCGGAATCGACCTTGTGGTTGGGTTCTCCATGCAGGGAGGGGGACACACCTTTCGTAACCCCATTTGGGCAAGTTATCCCCTTCGTCCTTCTCTTCCTCCTTCTCTTCCCTCCTCCTTGCAGATAAGCGAGATTTTCCCCTTCCTGGAGCTGAACCTGCACAAGCAAATCATCTGCAAGCTTCTAGTGAACGGATTCAACAGCATCTTTGACTACAATTTGAAATTATGCTTTAACCAAAATTATCTGTTCGGTTACTGCTGCGGCACGGGAATGTGTATGTATGGGACTTATTCAGAGAACAAATTTGTCATCAAATCAAACTACAAGGACAACTTCTACATCAGGAACAAGAGCATCAGTGCAAGGGAGTTAAAGATCATTTATGATAACTTAAATTATCGATCCTTCTTCTGTAGAAACAAAACCCTTTTATCTCCAGTATTCATACAAGGAGACATGGTACATGATAGCGATGGCAGACTGGACCCATTGCAGAGTTACAAGAACAGACTCATAAATTGCAGCGTGAAGGATATGATGGACCAAGCCCTCTCTGAGGAACTCGCCGTAGAATCCATTAAGCAGAACACAAAACAGGATGATCAATCTACAGATAACAAAATCAAATGCAATAACTACTTCAGACTGAGAGAAATTTACTTAAAGGAGGAAGAGGAGTTACTGAATTTCCCAAACGAAAGTGATCACTTGAAGAGAGACAACGCCATGGAGTATACCCAATTAGGAATCAAAGAAAGGAAGAGGATTAAAAAAAGAAAGGAGAAAAAAAAAGCCAAACGAGTAAAAAATAAAGGATACATTTACGAAGTGGAAGATCATCTCGACAATATAACCCTACTCAATATTTACGAAGACAGCATTGCTCTGTACAACTATATTTTCAACTTAGACGTCAGCAACTATCTGGTTAATAAGCGGTATGACAGTGGCGCTCTCCCCCCCAGGGCAACTCCTCCAAATGATGAGAGCCAGAGTGGAAAGAACCTCCAGAACTTCCCTCAAGGGGAGAAGGAGACACCCACGAGGGAGGAAGTGCCCAGAGAGGACCTCCCCAACTGCGGCAATTTAAAAATAATGGAATCACTCCAATCAGAAGCGCAGAACGAATCAACGACAGACCCATTGGCACATGGGAACGAAGAAAACCAAAGTAATGACCTCCACAGCGATGTCCGAAGCCAAGTGAACAAAGGAGGTCGCAACGAAAGGGAGTCCCCCTCGAATGTTAAGCGAGACCATAGTTCTTACGGTACCCCCACAGGCACTCCCATCAGCATGACCAAATCGAGTGAGGAGAAGAAATTCCCTCGAATATTCTCCCCAGAATCTCGCACGGAGTTAATGAGAACGTGCAACAGATCCTTCGCGCTGGACAGGAGCGAAAACAGTCTTCCCTTCAATTGCGAATTTAGGAAAGGAGGAGCTGAGAACGAGCCCAAATACTTTTTCTACATGTGCACGCTGGACCTCCTCCCCAGTATAAGGTTCGAAACGTTTTACGAGCATAAGGATGGTCAGGCAGGAGAGAATAACGCAGTGCCGAGTTCGGCGGAAGCAAATAAGACAGATGGGAAGCTTGGAAAAACAAACCAATCGACTGTCCCCATAGAGAGGAACAGGGAAGTCCTCGTGGGGAACAGCCTACCCAGGGGCAACACGAACAACTACTTAATGGACTCCATCACAAAGGGCATCACCAGGCCGGAAAGGCAAAGCGACTCCCAGGGAAACCAGTCCAATGCGCGAAGGGAGGCAAACTTGACGGGGCCCCTTCTGCACAAAGAAGTCGACGACCTTTTTAGCCATCAGTGCAGCGACCAGGTTAATGAGCAGCCCGCCGAGAGGTGCGTCGACCTGGTTGCGAATCAATGTAGGAACCTCCATGGAGAAGTCCCTATTGATAGGCTTCTAATCCCCCCAGGGGAGAAACCGTCCCCCCCCGAGCGCAAAACCTTGACCGATGAAGAAGAGAGGAGGAAAAAAAAAACCAAAAAAAAAACAGAAAAAAAAAATAAAAATAAAGGAAAACACACATACTTGAATAATCTCTCAAAAAGTTACCTCTACCTGATTAAGAGAATAAACCTGTTCAGCGAAAACAATGAACAGGTGGATGTGGTGTACGAGAAAATCAACAAAGCATTCAACGACCTTTACAACGTCCTAATATTTTATATATTTGCAAACAAGATGTCCCCCTGTTGCATATACAGCATTAAGTATCACTTCGCGTTCATATCAGTGGACGTGTTGGAAATCATGTTAACTGGTCATTTGGTCAAAATAAAAAATAACAACTCGATCAGTCTGGAGTTGAAGAGCATGAACCGATTGATGCAGGAGAATCTGTTGAAGCATTTTTTCAACTATCTGGAAAATTACTATATAGAGAAGTGGCAGCTATTTTTTAACTGCCCTGAATTGTTTCCCCCCAGTAATGGAAACAAACTGGGGGTGACGAAATGGAGGAGGAACCATTACGAGGGTGATAAGTCCCCTGGTGAGCAGCAAAAGAAGAAAGGAATACTTCACGCCTTGGCAGCCAGATTGTTCAACCTTCGCTTGTACTTCTCTCATAGGGGGAATAGAAGCAAGTCGACAGTAATGGGGAGAAACGGGACAGGGAGAGGCAAGACGGGGAAAGGCGACACGGGGAAAGGCGACACGGGGAAAGGTGACGCGGGGAAAGGCGACACAGGGAAAGGCGACACGGGGATAACTCATTCGAAGGATACCCTGACAAACCGGGGTGAAGAAAAACAAACGCGAGGGAACAAAAGAAATAAACTTAGCTTGTTCCTAAAAAAGACAGCAAAAAAGACCAAGCACTCATCCGATAAGTATAACTTGTGCGACACGCTGTTCCTTTTTAACGACCTTACAAATTACATCATCCAGGAAAACAGAAAGCACCTGTTTGATTCCTTCACAGAGCAGAAGTTTTCCTCAATCATAATAACCCCACTAAACGTGCTTCCAAACGTTATTATAAAAAAATACTTTGGGATTATCTCTTTGCACATCGTCAAAGAGAATGTGAACCTAAAGCAGTTTGATGTTTTTTACCAGAGCATAATATCGGACATTTTATTTATTGCAAAGTCTCACATTAAGGCGATCGGAGCCAACTTGATCTGCTCCTTTAAGATCACTAACTTTTTCATGCGCGAGGAGAGGTCCCACGCCTACGCGCTCATCAGCATTTGCGGCGACGTCGCCAAAATTTGAGGCGGGGAAGAAGGGAAAATATCCCCCCATATGGTGTCCTTCTTTATGAGGGGGGTGTTACCTCCGGTTGGCCTCCCTCACCGTTGAAGCAGTCGCTACTAAGTGACATCGCGCAGGTACATGGTCACGTAGGCGGTTTCCTCGTTGGGAGGATGTCCAGCGTGAGCCGTTCGTCTGCGTCAGTCCACAATCTTCATCCGCTTCCTTCATCTTCTTCTGCTCCCTTCACCCATTCCTGCCGCTCCCCCCCGCGGTGCGGCGCATGAAGTACTCACCCGTCTCCATCTGGATGTCAATTTTTCGAGGCAGCTGATCCGGCGGGAAGACGGACTTCTCCTCCTTCTTGGCCCCCTTCTTCTTGTCCAACTTTTGTTTAATTTTTCTCCTCTGTGCATTTCGCTTCCTAAAATTGGGGAGAAATTTCTCCCAGTTTTCGTTTTTAAACTCTTCATTTTTTTGCAGTTCCCTTTTGGCAATTAACTCTTTTATGTGATAAACTGGGTGGATGTTCTTCATACAGTCGACAATAATCCTCCTAACCACCTTAAGTGCCTTGAAGTAGCCAATGACGCTCACCGTTTTTCCGTGGACACATATGTAACAGTTGGTCAATATTTCCAGAGCCTTTAACGTCGTCCCATTGCTGCCTAGCAACCTCTGTCTTCGTTTGATAAACTTATTTCTGTTCCTTACATAGGTGCTAATTTTTATGATGTCGCAAAAGGTTTCGTCGTCTAGCACTCGCTTGGCATGACTGAAGGGCACACTTCTCGAAAGCAGAGAAATCATATCCCTCGCCTTTATTATGATATACGGATCAAATGTCTTTTTGGTTGTTCTTACACACATGTATCCTTCGATTAAGTTTATTTCAAACTTTACGAAATGATTGTTTAATACATTTTTGATGTCTGTGCTGAACTGTTGCAGATACTTTTCTCTGTATTTGGGGAAGAGCACTTTGAAGCTGGACTCCTCTAGGAAGTGATGCTTGTTGTCTTCCCTGGTGAATTTTTCGACTTTCCAATGGTCTATGTTTTCATTGTCCCATGGTTTCTCCTTTCTGTACTTTCTCTTCCCGCCCTCGCGCTTGTTCGGGGGCGCCTCCTCCGTCGCCATTTCGGGGGGGGGGGAGCAGAAGTAACTGGGGTGACTAGAATGACTGGAATGACTGCAGTGATTGCAGCAAAAGGAGTGACTGGTGTTAACTGCAGCAGATGGAGTAGCCGGAGTTAACTTCCCTCAGTGGGAGGAGGCGGAAGGGAGCTTCTACGATAGATGGTAGTCCTACTCTCCGTGGAGAAGTCACCCAATTGGGGCAGCTTCTTTGGAAAGTCTAAGCCTCCTGTTTGGTTGGCCTGGCTCCCTTGTACCGCTTACCAGATTGCCTTCCTACAGATGGGCACAGACTTACGTGCGCCCATCCACGCTGCATACGCATTGCGCCATAGTTTTATTCACGCGGAAAACGTGGGTAATTGGGACGGGCACAACTCTCATGAAGTAAAACTCTTTTCGTAGTGTACTTTTTTTTCTCTTTTTAATTTTGCCAACTGGGAGCGCATTCTCGAAAAAAAAAAGCGCTACAAAAAAGAGAAGAAAAAGAAAAAAAAAAAAAAGAGGGTTGACAAATTGGTTGGCTCTTCTTTTCAATTTGTCAAGGTCACGGGTTTGCGATTTTTTTTTTTTTTTATAAATTTTGCGTGATGTTTTTCTTCCCATCCAGTACCACGAACTACAGTTAAAAAAAAAAAAAAAAAGCTTAACCTACACTGGGTAGCCCCATTGAGTCGTTTCGGAGATTTTTTCTCCTTTTTCGGGATGGTGCCTAAATTTGTAGAAACGTCCACGGTGTTCATAAGCAAACAGATGTTCCCTCGGCGGGGTGGGATGGGGCAGAACAGCGCATCAACCAGTGCCGCCATCCATGTAGCGAAGTCCGACCATTTGCAGGTTTGCTCTAGTGAGTCCACTTCTGATTATTCATACGGATGGGGCGATATTGTGCGTGCTATACGACCCCGTGAGGACGAGCGAGTAGCCTCCAAACGGGCCCACTCGCGTACTTTTTCTCCTATGCCGCTGCCCCTACTTTAATGAAGCTCCTGCGCTCGGTGGGGTGCCACGTCGGGTGCCCCCCCCAGATTCAGAGGTCCAGGCGAACAATAAACAAAACGAGCAATGTCTACCTAGGGAATAATTATGTGAACCTCTCAACACTGCGCGAATGGGTGAAAGGGGAAGGGGAAGAGGCCGGACTCCGTGGGCCTCACGGGATAACCCCCATGGGTAGCAATGGGAATCACGTTATCAATCACCCCCCGAGTGGCCTGAAATCGAGGAAGATGTTTCCCTCCGCTTCTCATTCACAGGAGGGAAGCTCCACCGAGACAGAAGCGGTGAAGAACAAGGTAGAACTCCTCATGCGAAGAAACACGCAGGGCACCATAAACGACACAGTGTTTCAAATTCTCTCCGTAATTAACCAGCACCCGAAAAACAAAGACGTCTACATAAATAAAAAAATTTTAATTTCCTTCCACACACTGTTAATAAGAAGAAAATACCATTTGCGCATCTCCAAGGGAAGCATATGCAACGACCTTCACCCAACGATCTTTCATTACATCCACCACAATGTCAGTCTGCACTTAAAACATTATAACTTAAGTAACATCAGCAAGTTGCTTCCGGGTGTATCTAAATACATGCACAGGGTCAATCCCAGTGAAAGCACTAAACAGTTAGTTCAGAATATTTTTTATTTTCACTTCTTCTCCCACTTTAACTATTTTTATTATCTTCGAAGAAGGGATAGCAGTCTCGATTCGTTTGCTGCGAACCATGAAGGGGGTGCATTCCCCAAGAAGAGTGGCAGCATCTACCAAAGGGAGCAGCCTCCGGGAGGGCAAGAAAACGGGGAGCAATTTTGCAAGAATGGGATTCACACTGAGGGTTACTTCCACCCCGGGGAGAAGAACCCTTCTGACAGGAGAACACTCCAGTTGGGGACACTTCCAAATGGGAGATTCGCCGAATATCCACTTAAACGTAGCCGATGTGGTGATCCCAGTCAGAGGGACCAAGTCACCTTTTGTCACCTCAACAGTTACGTCGTTTTTCTCAGCAACCATCCGATGTATGCATCGGAGAAGGTCCTACACATTATTTCGTTACTCGCGAACAAAGTTACCCAAGTAAATGTAAGCGGCAAATTGGCACTCTCCTTTTTGTCCTCTAGCATGAATATCTTTGATAAACAGAAGGGAGACAGGCGGAAGATCCTCCTTTACAGAAAAGTGAACTACGACATATTGTACGCTATCATAAGAGAGTGGAACGAGCAAGTGGGGGGAGTAGCCGACAGGGGGGAGGAACTCCTTTCTGGGGAGGAACACACGAGGGATCTACCCCAAAGTGCTCACACGAACGAAGAGAGCAGAAGCGCGCCTCCCCCCTTTGTGCCAAACTTGTGGGCCTACTCACATATAATTAACATTTTGAAAATTTTAAAGGTCAAAAATTTTCTCTCTTCCAAATTTTCCTTTTCGGGGGACCCGGAACGGTGTCTAGTGCAGCTGTTCAGCGGCGCGATGAGCCTCTTGGCCAGCTTCACTCGTGGTACCTCTCCCGACATCATGAGGGAAGAATGTGTCTGTCATTGGACCAGTGCCCTCACGCAGAACGCGCTCAACAGCATTGCGACGATCTACGTTAATATGTCAATCTTACTGAGCGAAGTGGAAGATTCCGACACCCTCCGTTCGTCTCTTATGCACATACTGAACAGCTGCTACAGTATTGTGCACACGTACTATCCCATGCTGCATGAAAATATGAGCATCAATCTTGTGAGGGGAATATGCTACCAGATGAAAGCATACTCGGACATGCGTCCTTTCAGGAGTTGTTTCTACGAAATGGAGGAAGTAGAGGCGGGAAAAGACCACCTCCTTTGTGGGGACTCCCACTCAAAGAAAGAAGAAGCACTGATTGTGCCTAAACGTCTGTTACAGCTCCTTAGGGAAGTAACTAACTGTCTGCTATTCCCAAGTAGAGAAGAGAAGAAGCTACCCACGAACAAACTCATAATAGTGTTGCATTACCTGCATAAGGTGAACAAAATCTGTCTTCCCTTCAGCAAGAGCGACATGCTGAAAGGGTCCATTTTGAAACTTCTGCACGAGATTGGGAAGCAAATTGAAAGCGAAGAAGAAACAAATGTGTCGAACCATCACGTATTAATATTGATGAACGTAGAATTGTCTGAGCGAGGTGGGAAACTAAATGTCCCCCTTCTACACGCATGCCTTACCCGCCTGCAGGAGGCCACTTCCCACCTCTTTGAGAACGAAGCGGAGATCATTTTATTTCTTTACTTCTTGAAGAGGTTTCCCGAGGCGACCAAAATTTGTGATCCCTCCACCAACAGTGAACACCCCATCCAACACGGTGACGAAACGTTCCTCTTTTCCAGAGAGGCCGCTAGCAACCGCAGTCTAGATGAGGTGAACAAAATGGTGACTCAATTGGCAGACAGAGTTACTCGTGTGGTTTTCTTCCCCAGGGAAGCCACAAAATTGAGCCTCTCAAGGGGTCCCAACTCCGCCATTTCGCCCAACTGGTTTAACCAGACACTCCTCACAAGAGGCCCCCACAAAATGTACCCCCTTAGAGTGTACCCCCTCAGAGTGTACTTCCTCGCATATGAACATATCTCACCAGATTATCCAAATGAGGAGCCCGTAAAGGATGCTTTACTCAACCAGTTAACGCGACTTATGCAGCTTCAAAAGGAGAAGCTAACGGAGGAAGATTTCTTTTCCATTATGTCCTCCCTACTGAAGCATAAAATTGTGGACCATAATGCTTACTTGCTATATGAGTCCTTTTTGCGGTCACGTGGGGGGCTCATCCGAATGAAGTATGTCTCCTTGGTGTTGAAGCGTATTCTGGAGGAAATCTCCGGGGGGAACTTACTCAGGATATCCACGCGCGCATCGCCATCCCAAGTTGGTGCAGACTCCCCACTGATATCCATCATAACTACATCGAGCGATCTCATCTTGCGTGATAAGCAGTACCGTGAAAATTTCCCCTTTTTCAAGGAAATCTTACATGTCTATCTGGAAAAGTATCCACGCTTTGGAGATATCACCCCCCAATTTAACCTCTTCCTCTTGGCCCACTTCAACAACTTTGTGTGTATAATGGGACAGTTAAGTGAACATGAGATGGCTAGACTCGTTTACCACATGGCTAGCTTTTACTACACAATTAATAAGTTTTCACACGACGGGTTCGGTGTATTCGGAACAGAAAACAACTCAAGTTGCGACGATATTACAAATAACTGGGGGGGGGAAAAAGAAGAGGTAAAAATTGGGGGCGACTCCATCGGCTCGTCACGCCGCCTATTATGTAATTCTCCCCCTCATAACGATGCGAAGAGGGACAGCTCCTCCCATGTGAACAGTCAGGGGGCCATCACCCTCCATTCGGGGAAAGACAAAATGATCAGTTACAACGAGCAGGACATGGGCAAGAAACTGCTCCAGCAGCTTAACTGCCTCTTGGATGCATTATACACTGAGGAACAGAAACTTCGGGAACGCAACGACCAAATGAAATTATCACTCAGTAGCATCATTCAAGTGTTTACTTCTTTGAAGAATGCCAAACTGCGACACAGCGATTTGATGCGTGTACTGTCGGAAAGATGCATCCACATCATCATGTTTTCCCAACGGAGTACCATAAAACTAGAGCTGCAGATTCGATTCTTTAACAGCGTAGTGTTTCTGGACTACTTAAATGCCGTCGATGAGGCATTTCTCCGCTTGGCTCATTGCCACCCAGGTTCGGTCAACAACACCTCCATGCAACCGAGACACATTCTCTATGCGCACTTCCAGCAACTCCCCAGACAAGCTATATGCACGCCAAACATTTCGACGTACCTTCTGAACTTCGTCTCCATCCTGGATTATCTACCCTTAGACCATCAGAGAAGAGGTACCCGGAAGGCCTCATATTGGCTTTGTGAACTCCTTCAAATGTTCTTTCCTAAACAAGTTGGACGTTCCACCAGTACCTCTACAGAGGGTAGTAAAAAGGACGGACTTTACTGTCCACCCCCAAACAATCTTGTCAAGCGAAACGTCTTTCTCCTCCTCTGCCTCCTCCACCTGGGTAACTACTCGCATGTGAACATTTCGACATTCCCTCTGAAGTTCTTGCAGCAGTTTTACAGTCATTTCATTCAGAGAGAATTCGCTCACCTGAGTGTGAATTCAACAGTGCGGTCCTCCTCTACCCATCGGAGCATTTACAATTTTTTGGAGACTTACCTGCGGAAGGAATTCCCCCGCTATGATATTTACAACGAGAAAGAGGTGCTCCTGTTCAAGGTTGACCTGGTCCTCCTGGTGCGGCGGCACAGTGATGTGCCTACATGCGTCTGCTGATGTATGAGCATTGATACGAATGTGCACATTTTTTTTTGTTTTTTGGGGAAGCGGGGGGCAGGGGATAAAATTTCTCCAAGGCGATGACACCTCCCCCCCCCTCCCGCTTCCCAACCAACTGAACCATCTGAGTTGTTTTGAAGCCTCCACGGATAGAATCCCCCAAACCGGATGGCACTACGGAAACTCCCCGTTCAGCTACTCTGAAGCTGCTCGTCGGCCGCTCCCCTCACAACATCTCGGGGTTCCCATACACCCTGAGCATCTGCCTCAAGTAGCTAATCAAGCAGTCCAGACAAATGATGTTCTCATTTTGGTAATTCCTTTTATCACTTTCGTCCTTCTTCCTATTAAAACCCGGCTTCATCTTCTGCATCTGCTGCATTTTTTGCATTTTCTTCCTCTTCCTCTTTTCCGTCTCCTCCGTCATGCAATTCTTTAGCAACCTAGAGGACATGGCTCTTTTGGACAGTTTGAAACTGTACCCCATGGGTGTGCTGTTCTGTTGCCCTTCATCCACTTCGCCGCTCTTTAAGCGGTACAGGTGGTCCTGTCTGGACTGGACGGGTTGTCTGGATGTCCCTGCGTACCCATTCACTGCACAGTTTACACTATTCATCTGGTGCTTCACCCCGTTCTTCATCTCGTTATTCGCCTCCTTCTTCGCCTCCTTCTTCGCCTCCTTCCTCGCCTCCTCACCCCTACCAAGGGACTTGAACTTCCCGTTGCGCAACTCCAATTCGTCATGTGTACTTTCTTCACTGGAGATGGAGCTGCCCCCTCCGTTTAACTTAATCCTACTCCTCTCCATCAATCGGTTATTTATGTCTACACTCTTCTTTGTGCTAAACTTGGAATCGCCTTCCTTGTTAAGCTTGCTATAGATCCTGCCGTACTTGAGGTCACTGCTATTGTACACGTAATGCATATATTTGTCATGCTTAGAATCGAAGTTAAAGCTATTCATATTGAGTCGTTGCATTATTTTGTTTCTCCTCAGGTGTTTGTCCTTTGGATAGTCATCACTCTGGTCATTTGTTCGCCCCTTGTATGTGTTCTTCATGCGGAATTCAACTCTTTGGGAAGTTTCCTTCGACCCCTTTTTCGTCGCTAACTGGAATTTGTCCCCATTTGTATCGAACGGTTTGTCTTTCCTCCCTACTACAGAGGAGGGTAGAACTTGCCCTTTGGCAAGGGATCTTCCTTCGATGTTGGTAACCTCTCCAGGTGAATCTTCCTTTCTCTGTTTCCAATTTGTATGGTTATTCTTGGTTTTCTCTTTCTCCTTTGCTGCCATTTCTCCATCCAATTGTCCATCCACTTCTTCCCTCCCTTGATGTGTCTGCTCCCCGAGGGTCGAAGGAATCCCCTTCTTCACTGTCCCATTCATTCGTCCTGTTTCCTCTCTTCCTCCCCGCTTGCATCTCTTTATACACTTCTTTCTCTTCAGCTTAAGTGGAAAGTAATGATTAAAAGTGAATTTGACAAAGTAGCCATAAAAGTATCTCCTCCTTCTAGGCTGTCCCTCCTGTCCGCCATTCAGTTCTGTGTTTCCCACGTAAGAACACTTGTCACTGAGGCACAAATTGTACAGCTGAATGAGAGTGTCTACATTGCTTTCTACGTTGCTGTCTCTGTAGCATAGGAGATTGAACAAATTTTTAAAATCATGAATCTTGTTGGCGCACTTGGGCAGGTAGCTCTCGTACTTGTCTTCGCGCTGGACTCTTTTCCTCGCCTGGGTTGTGGTGATATGGGCGGCGCGGTCCGCGTGTGCGGGCGGCCTATCAGCGCCCTGCCCATCTGGGTTTTGTCCATGTGTGTCGTGCTCATTTGACTTGTCCCCATCTGCGTTGTTCCCATCTGCGCCGTGCCCATCTCCGTGGCGGTCGCCACTTCTGCCATTCCCCCACCTGACCTTCCACACGCAGTCCTCCTTACAACAGAATATACTCGCCGTGTCATTTTCTCGAATAAATGTTTGGACGTTATGCCGGTCTGCACTTCTCGCTTGGCCTGTCACTCGCAGATTTCGTCTTCGCGAGGCTGGCTCGTCGAACGCGGTGCTAAGGGGAGGGTCACCTTGTGCCGCTTCTCTGGGGAACTGACCCAGGTCCCCCTTCGCTTTACTGTCCATTTGTAGCGCGGTGTGGACGTCGGTGTGAACCTCAGTATGAATCTTCCTATGAACCTTGGTACTCACCTTGGAAGACGTCTGCCCATGCTTGTGCCGCTTTGCATGTCCGCGCCCCCTATCCCGCATGTCCCCCCCCTTCTTCCTTATGTGCACCAGCTCCAGCGAGAGGAATCCACCGAAGGGCGGAATCTTCATGGAGCTCCTCTTAACCCCTACGCACGACTGGAACGATAGAATAGACGACTGGTGCGTTAAGTAAACTATAATTTTCGGAATGAACTTCTTCCCTCCCCCCCAGCCAGTTGCCATCTCCCTATTGAAGTTCTCATACACCCTGACGCTTATCATGAAATTAATGACGACATCCATCAGAGACATGCCGCTGCACAGCCACGAGAGGTACTTGTTGTTATACTCGAGAGTGCACATGTGTTTGTAGCACTCGTAGATTTTTTTGTAAAAGCTTTTCGCTTTGTTTTTTTCCTTCTTCTCCGCGGTCTCGTCGGGCCTCTTCGCCTCGCGAGGGTTAAGAAGCGGGTCTTCAGAAGGGGTATCAGGCGGGTCGCCAGAAGAGTCTTCAGAAGGGGAATCGTGCGAATCATCAGGCGGGTTAACGAGCGGGTGGTCAGGCGACTCGTCAGGCGCCGCTTCACACAGGTGAAGAGACCCCTTTGGCCCTTTTCCCTCCTGTCGGTGGGTACATTCTCCCTTCGAGTAATCCCCTGCACAGCGTCCGTCCAGCCCGCTTGCCCTCTCGACAGGGGGCCACTTCTCTGCCCCATCTTGTGCTCCTCCCCTTTGTACATTATAATACCATCTGTGTGGATCCCCTCCCTCACGGAATGCAACTGCCTTTCTGGTGCGGCCTTCCCTTCCAGCGGGCCCGCAATTATCCCCTCCGTTCGGATGTTCCTTCTTTCCCATTTCAGGGGTGGCCACTCCGAGCACGGTCTCACTGGAGGAGCTACACTGAACCTGCACGTTTCTGTACACCTTCCGCATGTCTAGGACGAGACGCACATTGTGATACACATACGCATCATATGAACTAATAAACTTTTTAATGATCTTAATGTTTTTCCTCTTGCTATAAAACAGTAAGTGATTCCTCATGCTTCTAACTTTTTCTTGAATCACCTTTCTCTGTTCACAAGTCGGGACATTCCCTAAAGTGACATCCACTGAGTAATAGTTTAGTTTCCTCAGATCTTTCAAAATAATGGACTTGTTTAGTTTCTTCTTTATCTTGTACACATCTGAGTTATGCTTCTTTAATATTTTCACAATTCGATTTTTTATATTCCATTCGTCCTCTGCTACATCGCTTTGTGTGGTGTTCGCCCACGGCTCGCTGAGCAAAAGTTCTGACCTGTTAAGGTAACTTCGGCTCCTCCATTTGGTTATTCGATACACTATGGAAATTTCTTCCTTGTAGTGATCATTTAAAAGTTTGTAAACATTTGAGTTGTAAAAAATGAGATTCTTCAATCTCTTTATGTAGTGGTTATTGGACTTGAGGGTCTTCAGCATCAGTGAGTTCCGCTCCGCCACATGCACCACGGAAAACAGGATGTAGATATTGCGCAGGTAGGAGAGTAGGTTCCTACGGTAGCCGCTGGGATAGCTGCTGGGGTAGCCGTTGGAGTAGCCGCTAGGGTGGGGAGTCCAGTTGACCATCCATGCGGGGGAGACGAAGCGCTGATCGTGAAGAAGCCCTGAACAGTTCTCAGCATCATGGTTGGTGTCATTCCGCCTGGGAACACCCCCGGAGGCACTCACATAAGCAGCAAAATCGCTCAGCACATACCGCATGTAAGACTCAAATATGAAAGAAATACACGACTTCTCCAACTTCCTTTCGTTACGACCTTTCGCCTTCATTATCTTGTTGTAAAAAAGGGTTGAATTGTATCTTCCACTGAGGGCAAATTCGAAAAAAGTTTTCACATTATGGATTAGGGTACTGCTCGGGCGGAACTTCTCCGCTGCCTTTCTGGCTGCTCCACTTCGAGGTGTTCCCTTCCCAAGGCTTCTGTTAAGGACGCCCCAACTTGGGTTCACGCTGTCACTATAGCTCTGCGCGTTTTCTGCCTTCCAGTTGGCGCCACCCCCAGTGCGTGCGTCGCTTCGTCTGTTCGATGGTTCGTCATGGCCGTCCGGACGCTTCTTATCACATGCGTCCTCTCGCTTCTTTTCCACAATCGGGGCGTCCCCACCGAAGCTGGTAACACCGGAGAGTAACTTGACTTCGTCCATTTTTAGGTCCTTCTTTACGTCCTTTTTTGCACTCCTATCCAACCGCTCCCTGTTGTCCTCATCGGTGAATGCCACCATGGAGGAAACCCATCGGTCTCTGGGGGGTTCTACAAAAAGTTGGTACCCATTTTGGGGGCACTTCCCACCGATGGACGTTTCCCCTGGTGGATCGCTTCTTGCGAACTCGGACTGGTTGTACTGAACCCGATCGAGGTTGCCACTTCCACCTGAACGGGTTATGCAATTCTCAGCAGCGTCTCTCAGATGCTGCTGCTCACCCATGGGGACGTCCCCTTCAAAATCCTTCTCAGTAAAATTGCAAATCGAATTTGGAGAAACAGGCGCAAAAGTGACATGGTGGGATTTACCCCCTTGTAGACATTCCAAAGGATGACACCCTGCTAAGTGGGTCCCTTGACGGGGCCTTACCGTCGCATCTGTCGCCACCGACGAATCATTCTGCTGCGAAAGGAAGTTAACTTGTGCAGGGAGCGAGCTCTTCCTCCTTTCGAGGATACTGCTACTATTTGGAAGGTCCTTCTGGGGGATGGACAAGGGGTGGAGTCTGTCTTCCCGTTTACGGCTCACAGAGCGGAAGTTTTCACTGACTATTTCACTTCCACGAATCATATCTCGGTGTAACAAATCATACTCTTCATTATCGAAGGACAAAAGGAAGAAGAAAAAAAACATCTTTTCTGTAATCCCTAGGATACCACACATGATGGCATACGCTGTTAACTTGCACCTCTGACTGCTAGTCGTTTTTACACACAAATATTTATTTATAATCTTGACGATTTCATCGTACTTCCTCTTTTGCTTCTCTATGTGGATCCTTTTTTCCAGCTGCTTCGGCAAGTGATTCATTTCGCAGATGGAGGAAAGTGTGTCCTTCCCCCTCCACGCACCACCAGCCGTATCTTTATTTAGATATCCAATTGGAGTGCCTCCATCGAGAGGGTTCATCCAACTCAGAGCAGCTTCACTTGGCACTTCGTCCCTCATGGAATGATCCACATTGATAACTTTGTCATTTTTTTTTTTTCGTTTCTTTCTTTTCCTCTTCTTTTTCCCACAATAATTTGCACATACGCTTCTGCAGACATGCAGAGAGGTTGGTTCCTTCCCCTTTCTGTCCTGGCAGAATGGAGTCCACCTCACTTTGTGCGTCACCCTCTTGTGCAACATCCTGCAGGGATTCGCAGCGCTGGGATTTTTACTCACCAGTAATTTTATTGTTTCCTTTAGGCGTCTCTCCCTCCGCAGGTTTTCCTTTAAATTTTTTTTTTTTCTTCCCATTTGGAGTGTACCGAAATTTTCCTTAAGTCTATGCCTGTTGTGTTTATTTCCATTCAGTTTACCCCCGTTGAGCTTACCCCCCTGTAGTTGATCCCAAGGGGTGGATGCCCTCATCATGTTCGTCTCCTCATCCGATTCGTGAGACACACTCTCCCCTCCCGAATGATCCCCCCCGTCATTATAAATCGAATTCAATTTCCTCATGCTATAGTAGTATTTACGAAGGTATTTTCCAATCTTTACTGACTGCTGGAAGCCCAGGAAGGTAAGATCTCCCTTTCCTTCTTTGAAAGGCCACACATTTTGTATCTTTTTTTTGGGTGTCCTGGCCCCATGTCTCATATAAATGACATTCATCACGCTGTTGAATTCGAAGTAGGTAAAAAGACACTTGGTGCATAGGCTCACGTTCTTCCCATAGCTGTCTGCGTTGAGGTATCGGCAGGAGTAATCGCTTTTGGCTGAATCACACGAGTTCACTGATTGGCACGCGGATGGCGACCTGATGCGATTCTTCCTTCCGTTCCATTGCCGACCACGTCCGTAGGGGGCCTGCCCCGCGCGGTCGTTGCCATCGGCGGTGTCACTATTGAGGAGGGGGGTTTCCTGGATGGGTTTCTCCCTGATGGGTCTTTCCCTGATGGGTCTTTCTCTAATGGGTTTTTCACTGATGGGTTTTTCACTGATGGGTTTTTCACTGATGGGTTTTTCACTGATGGGTTTTTCACTGATGGGTTTTTCACTGATGGGTTTTTCCCTTTCTCCTGCCTGAGGTTCCTCCCCCTTGCGATCCATCATCCTAAGAGGCCCTTCCCTCAAAGCGGACCCTCTCCCAACGCGCAGAACGCGGCATACAATTTATGTGCCCCCGCGCGTGCGTAGGGGGATGCTACTGTCACGTACAAAAAAGAGGGGTGAAGGAAATGCATAGGGGTGACGATGGCAGAACGATGTTGCGGTGGATTCTTCGTTCTGTTAGCAGCGGCAAGGTTGAAGCTGCAGGCTAACGTTTGGCCTGACGCTTCACCTGCCGATTTGCTTGAAACCGCCCAGACGACGCCGCAGAAAAGATGCCTAAGGGATATTCCGTGCTAGAGGCCTGCCTTGATTGTGGCCCACCCGCTTCTTATAACAGGGCTTGCGCGCGGATGCAGTTGCCTACGCCCGTACGTGCATATAACCGAACAGAGGCGCACTCGCGAAAATATCTGCTGGGACGTCCGGAGTTAGAGGAGCTCTCTCCTCCCTACGCCCCTCTTTGCGCGGCATCCTTCCCCCCCCCGGGTTGCAATTTCTTGCAAGTCGCCGCTTCTGTGAGGAGTTTTCCTATTTCACTTCCAAAAGTGAATAGGGCAAAACGCATGTTATTTTGCGACGTTTCAAAATTGGATTCCGCCCCCCCCCGCTGCTCCTTCCCTGTGCAGAAGCAATCATCAATTGAGAGGGGAGGCGCGGTGGCATCAATATGCATGCCGATAAGGAGTAGGCGTTAGCTGCACTGCTGGGCGGGGGCATATGTACTGGGGCACATTGACACGTGTATATGATGTGAAATGTACACATGTATTTTTTTTTCTTTTTTTTCTTTCTTTTTTCTACTTTTTCTTGCGTCTGTTCCAATGTCATTTGCGAGTTCCATTACGAAAGTGAGACTTGCTTCCCCCTCACGTGATGTGTCATGTGTCACCTGCCACTTCGCAACAATTCTCTTGTGCGAGGAACGCGCGTGTACATGGGGGATTGAAAGTTGTTTTGATTGAACGGTTGGCATAGCTTCAGTTTAGCTTAACTTTACGTGATTTTTTTTTCTTTTTTTTTCCCATTCGCGGAATCTCTCCACAATGCTCATACATGTGACCCATTTTGTGTTCCAAATGGATGTTAAGAAGGTACCATCCATAGGTGGAAAACGACCATCCCTTCTGTACAGTCGAATGCATACACAGGAGGAGAAAAGTATGTTCTTATGCATGTGCAAAGGGGGAGGGGGGGAGAGTGTCACTTTTCCGGGTTAGATGCTCCAAAAGGTGATGCCCTCCATTTTGTGAAATGTCATCACCGTTGATTTGAGAGTAGCTGGAGTGCGAACCCCTCCTCCTCGGGCCGCAACCCCCACAGCGTTGTTGACGCTTGGGAAGAATAACATAAACGATACCATCACCAGCAACCCCAATCCGCATATCCTATTTTGTACTTAGATGGATCCTCATAAGTAGATACTAAAGCGATTAAAGAAGACATGCTCACTTCATTAGCTCATCGAATGATACACACCATGGTGGCGTTGAACCTGTGCGCACTTCCCCTACGACATCGTTATAGTGAAAAGACATCCATAGGGGAGAATAACCCACAGGAAAAGTTCGCCAAAATGGGGAGAAGAAGAAGATGCCCTCCTCAGATTCTCTCTCCTCAAAAAGAGAAAAAAATTATATAATGAAGTTTTCCTCGTTTAATGTAAATCCTTATTCGTATGGCTCCTCCCGATGTGGAAACGTCCCTTTGTTCTGTTCTTGTTCCTCTTGTTCTTCGTATTCTTCCTGCTTTTCTTGTTCTTCTTCTTCACCACCCACCCTTGAGGTTGAGAGTGAAAAGTGGGTGTACACATAATAAATGCCATTCGTGTGTAGGGGGTTGCTCCAAAAAAAAAAAAAAAATCGCAAGCAGATAGTACACTACCAAAGGAGATAGTGCTACACTGTGAAAGAGATACATACATCTGGGTTCATAATGAGGAGGATTGTTCAGGTTTGACATTCAACCTTTGTTTCGGAGGTGAAGTGCACATCATATTGCCTCATAATGTTACTGCGCTGGAAAAAAAGAGAAGTACTAAAAAAGGTGTCATCACCATGCACACAGCGCAATGATCTGTTCGGGGTGGAGGCACTTGCTTCACACCACGGGGAAGGAATCTGCACCCGCTGTCAAAAAGAGGATTTAGAGAAAGAATTCCCCCACAAGAGCGTTTTAAGCGGCGCCATGTTGGAGATGGCGGTGTCAATCGCAGTGTCAATCGCAGTGTCAGTGGTTGTGGCGACGGCTGCTCAACTTTCACGCCGTTTCTTTGCTCCAGATGGATAATAAAAGCAGAGGTAACAACAACTCTCTCGCTTGCACGAAGTGGATACATAGATACCATTCCGCTCGTCGGGTTGGCAACACTGATTCATTCTCGAATGGGCGGTTTGTCCGCCCTTCATCTGTTTTGCTCTCTTGTATGCACCTTTTTTTGTTTCATTCCCGCTGCCGCGGTGCCCATCAAGGCCTGCACTCCGTGAAGCGGTAGATTTTTTCACGCGACGCATTCATCCCCTTCCCTTGTGTACACCTTGGAAGGATTTTTTTTTTTTTTTTTTT